CTTGCCACAGAAACCTGGCAGGCCAGAAGAGAGGGGCAGGATATATTCAATGTGCTAAATGGGAAAAATATGCAGCCAAGAATACTCTACCCAGCCAGGCTGTGATTCAGAATAGAAGGAGAGATAAAGAGTTTCCCAGACAAACAAAAACTAAAGGAGTTCAAGACCACGAAACCAGCCCTGCAAGAAATATTAAAGGGGACTCTTTGTGTGGGAAAGACAGACCAAAAGCAACAAAGACTAGAAAGGAAAAGAGAAAAGCTCCAGAAACAACTACTTAACAAATAATACAATGGCAACAAATTCATATATATCAATAATCACTCTGAATGTCAATGGGCTACATGCCCCGATCAAGAGACATGGGGTATCAGAATGGATAAAAAAAAAAAAAAGACAGTCATTTTAGACCCAAAGACACCACCGGATTAAAAGGGAGGGAGTGGGGAACCATTTATCATGTTGATAGATATCAAAAAAAGCTGGAGTAGCCATACTTATATCAGACAAGCTAGATTTTAAAACAAAGACTGTAACAAGAGATGAAGAAGGGCATTAAATAATAATTAAGGGGCCTATCCATCACAAAGATCTAACAATTGTAAGTATTTATGCCCCCAACCTGGGAGCACCCAAATATATAAATCAATTAATAACAAACATAAAGAAGCTCATTGATAATAATATAATAACAGTAAGGGACTTTAACACCCCACTTACAGCAATGGACAGATCATCTAAGCAGAAGATCAACAAGGAAACAAGGGCTTTGAATAACACACTGGACCAGATGGACTTAACAGATATATTCAAAACATTTCATCCTAAAGCAGCCAAATATACATTCTTTTCGAGTACACATGGGACATTCTCCAGAATAGATCACATACTGGGTCACAAATCAGGCCTTAACCAGTACAAAGAGATTTAGATTGTACCATGCATATTTTCAGATCCCAACGTTGTGAAACTTGAAGTCAACCACAAGAAAAAATGTGGAAAGAAGACAAATAAATGGAGGTTAAAGAACGTCCTACTAAAGAATGAATGAGTTAACCAGGAAATTAAAGAAGAATTTAAAAAATACATGGAACCAAATGAAAATGAAAACACATTAGTCCAAAACCTCTGCAGCAAAAGCAGTCCTAAGAAGGAAGTATATAGCAATACGGGCCTACCCCCAGAAGCAAGAAAAATCTCAAATATAGAACCTAACCTCACACCTAAAGGAGCCAGAAAAAGAACAGCAAATGAAGCCTAAAGCCAGCTGAAGAAGGGAAGTAATAAAGATTAGAGCAGAAATAAATGATATAGAAACAAAAAAAAAAAGGTAGAATAGATCAATGCACCTAGGAGCTGGTTCTTTCAAAGAATTAACAAAATTGATAAACCCCTAGCCAGACTTGTCAAAAAGAAGAGAATGCACTCAAATAAATCACAAATGAGAGAGGAGGGATCACAACAAATACCACAGAAATACAAACAATTATAAGAGAATATTATGAAAAATTATATGCCAACAAACTGGGCAATCTGGAAGAAACAGACAGATTCCTAACCAAAACTGAAACAGGAAGAAAGAGAAAATTTGAACAGACCAATAACCAGCAAACAAATTGAATCAGGAATCAAAAAATCTCCCAATAAACAAAACCAGGGCCAGATGGCTTCCCAGGGGAATTCTACCAGACATTTAAAGAAGAGTTAATAGCTACTCTTCAAAAACTATCCCAAAAAATATAAATGGAAGGAAAACTTCCAAACTTATTCTACAAGGCCAGTATTACCTTGATTCCAAAACCAAAGACCCCACTAAAAAGAATTACAGGCCAATATCCCTGATGAACATGGATGCAAAAATTCTCAACAACACACTAGCAAATCAAATCCAACAGTACCTTAAAGGAATCATTCACCACGATCAAGTGGGATTTATTCCTGGGCTGCAAGGGTAGGTCAATAACTGCAAATCAATCAACATGATACACCACATTAAAAAAAGAAAGGGTAAAAACCATATGATCCTGTCAATAGATGCAGAAAAATAATGAGACAAAATACAGCACCCTATCTTGATAAAAACACTCAAGAAAGTAGGGTAGAAGGAACATACCTCAACATCATAAAGGTCATATATGAAAGACCCAGAGCTAACGTCATCCTCAATGGGGGAAAACTGAGAGTTTAACCCCTAACGTCAGAAACAAGACGGGGATGCCCACTCTCACCAATGTTATTTAACATAGTACTGGAAGTTCTAGTCTCAGCAGTCAGACAACAAAAAGAAATAAAAGGCATCCAAATCGGCAAGGAAGAAGTCAAACTTTCACTATTTGCAGACAACATGATACTGTATGTAGAAAACCTGAAAGACTCCACCATAAAATTGCTAGAACTGATATACAAATTCAGTAAAGTCACAGGATACAAAACCAACATACAGAAATCTGTTGCATTTCTATACACCAATAATGAAGCAGCAGAAAGAGAAATCAAGAAATCGACCCCATTTACAATTGCACAAAAACCCTAAGATACCTAGGAATAAACCTAACCAAAGAGGTAAAGGATCTGTACTCTGAAAACTATAGAACACTTAGGAAGGAAATTGAAGAGGACACAAAGAAATGGGAAAGCATTCCATGCTCATGGATTGGAAGAACAAACATTATTAAAATGTCTTTACTACCCAAAGCAATCTACACATTTAATGCAAGCCCTATCAACACCAGCATTTTTCACAGAGCAGGAACAAACAATTCTGAAATTTGTATGGAACCAGAAAAGACCCCAAATAGACAAAGCAATTCTGAAAAAGAAAAGCAAAACTGGAGGCATCACAATTCCAGACTTCAAGCTCTATTACAAAGCTGTAGTCGGGGCGCCTGGGTGGCTCAGTCGGTTAGGCAGTTGCCTTCGGCTCAGATCATGATCCCAGGGTCCTGCTCAGCGGGGAGTCTGCTTCTCCCTATCCCTCTGCCTGCTGCTCTGCCTACTTGTGCTCTCTCTCTCTAGCTCTCTGTCAAATAAATAAATAAAATCTTTAAAAAAAAAAAAAAGCTGTAGTCATCAAGACAGTATGGTACTGGCACAAAAACAGACACAGAAATCAGTGGAACAGAATAGAGAGCCCAGAAATGGACCTACAACTATATGGTCAACTAATCTTCGACAAAGCACAAAAGAATATCCAATGGAAAAAAGTCTCTTCAACAAACAGTGTTGGGAAAACTGGACAGCCACATGCAGAAGAATGAAACTGGACCACTTTCTTACACCATCCACAAAAATAAACTCAAGATGGATGAAAGACCTAAATGTGAGACAGGAATCCATGAAAATCCTAGAGGAGAACACAGGCAGCAACTTCTTTGACCTTGGCCGCAGCTACTTTTTACTAGACACATCTCTGGAGGCAAGGGAAACAAAAGCAAAAATGAACTACTGGGACTTCATTAAGAGAAAAAGCTTCAGCACAGCAAAAGAAACAATCAACAAAACTAAAAGGCAACGTACAGAATGGGAGAAGATATTTGCAAATGACATATCAGATAAAGGGCTAGTATCCAAAATCTATAAAGAACTTATCAAACTCAACACCCATAAAACAAATTCCAGTTAAGAAATGGGCAGAAACATGAATAGACATTTCTCCAAGGAAGACATCCAGATGGCTAACAGACACATGAAAAGATGCTCAACATCACTCAACATCAGGGAAATACAAATCAAAACCACAGTGAGATATCACCTCACACCTGTCAGAATGGCTAAGATTAACAACACAGGAAACAACAGATGTTAGCAAAGATATGGAGAAAGGGGAACCCTCTTGCACTGTTGGTGGGAATGCAAGCTGGTGCAGCCACTCTAGAAATCAGTATGGAGGTTCCTCAAAAAGTTAAAAATAGAACTGCCATATGACCCAGCAATTGCACTACTAGGTATTCTCCCCAAAGATACAAAAGTACTGATTCGAAGGGGTACATGCATCCCAATGTTTATAGCAGCATTATCAACAATAGTCAAATTATGGAAAGAGTCCAAGACATCCATCGACTAATGAACGGATAAATTAGACATGGTATATATATCTATATATCTCTCTATATATAGTGGAATATCTATATATATAATGGAGTATCTATATATATATACATAACGGAATATTATTGAGCCATAAAAAAGAATGAAACCTTGCCATTTACAATGGTGTGGACAGAGCTAGAGATTATTATGATAAGCGAAATAAGTCAGATAGAGAAAGTCAAATACCACATGATTTCACATATATGTGGAATCTGAAAAATAAAACAAACAAATCAAAAAACTGAAAAAAGATCCTTAAATACAGAAAACAAACTGATGGTTGCCAGAAGAGAGGTCGATGGGGTAATGGCAAAATAGATAAGGGGGATTAAGAGTACAAACTTCCAGGTGTAAAATAAGTAAGTCATAGGAATGAAAGGTACAGCCTAGGCAACAGAATCAATAACACTGTAATAACATTGTATGGTGACAGATGGTGATTACACTTATTGTGGTATTTAGTAATGTATAAAACTTTCCAATCAATATGTTGCACATCTGAGGGGCGCCTGGGTTAAACAGGCAGTTAAACGTCTGACTCTTGATTTCAGCTCAGGTCATGATCACAGGGTTGTAAGATTGAGCCCCGCATTGGGCTCCACGCCGGGCGTGGAGCCTGCTTAAGATTCTCTCTTTCCCTCTGCCCCTCTCCGCAACCCCCCTCTAAAAAAAATATGTTGTACATCTGCAAGTAATATAACATGGTATGTTAGTTATCCTTCCATAAAGAAATCCATAAGCTAAGATAAATAAAGCAGCAATGGGCAAGAGAAGAAAATTCACACAAGGGAAAAGAATGACCAATAAAACTTCCCTGATTATGCTGCTTGCTTAAAGAACAAGTCATACAAATTAATGAGTTACTGTCTTTCATTCTAGATTCCTGGCCCTGGGTACCTCTTCCTCCTCACCTCACAGGAGTTGTCACATCTCCCCACAGCTCGAGCCAGGGATGGCCCAGGAGAGCTCCAGTTGGCTGGCATGTTCCTGCTGGGCATCAGCCCTCCAGCTCTCTTGCTGATGCTCCTCCCACGAGCCTGAAGCCAAGTGGGCTCCGTGGACTCAATCAGAGCTGAGCTGCTGGGGCCAGAAGACAGTTCCTGCAGCCTCCGCTGTGGGGTCTGGCCCACAGGTTCAACAGAGACTCCAAGAAACCTGCAAAGACAGTGTCCACATGGTCAGTCATTTAGCATTGACCCCACAAATGCTTCCTGGGGGCACCAAAGTACAGTTCCTGGCCTTGGGTATTGTGGGATAGACAAAGTCCAGCCAACACCCATTCTAGTCATTCATCAAAATGGAATATGAGCAAGACCATGACATTTGGACAAACATTCTTTAAGCCTTAAATTCTCGCTCTGCCAACTTTTAGCTATGAGAATATAAAAATGCTTCTTCACTTGTCTTTTCAAAATGAGTCAAAACTATTCACCTCAAGGGGTTGTGAAAATTAAATGAGATGACGTTTGTAAGGCACTTGGCAGCAGGCTGGCCCCAGGAAACATTTAATTCAGATTAGCAAGTACTGTCATTACAAGGGATCAGGTAATATGCAGAAGTAGGTACCTCACTTAATTTGCACAACGATCCTCTCACCCATGTGTTGCCGTAATTATTATTATTTCATTTTATGCCCACAGAAACAGAGGCCTAGTGATATTAAGTCAAAGCCAGTCTACCTGGCTTCAAAATTTACATTCTCAACACTATAATACTCAGTACCTTTTGTGTGGTAGGCTTAAAATAAACGTGGTTCTGTTTAACAGATGTTGAAAACATGACTGCGGGGGCGCCTGGGTGGCTCAGTTGGTTAAGCGACTGCCTTCGGCTCAGGTCATGATCCTGGAGTCCCTGGATCGAGTCCCGCATCGGGCTCCCTGCTCGGCAGGGAGCCTGCTTCTCCCTCTGACCCTCCCCCCTCTCATGTGCTCTCTGTCTCTCTCATTCTCTCTGTCTCAGATAAATAAATAAAATCTTTAAAAAACAAAAAACAAAAAAAAACATGACTGCGATTTGGAACTAAAAAAAAGTAGAGTGTCTTAAAACAGAAGAGATAGGCCATAAGGAAAATGCTAATAGCCTGAGACTCCAATGTCTTAACTACCTCAAAATATGCAGAGGTAAAACTGTTTCTCCTTTTACAGGATCCAGGGAGGAGAGGGGGGTCTCTGTGTCTATATTTAGAAACAATTTTATTCTGATCAACTAATAAAAGCACTACAGATTTAGTCATTCTTGTTGGGAAAGGGAAAGTATCCTTTATAAAATGAAGAGGAACTTAATTAAGAAAAACAGAAGTAAGAAATGGGATAAAGAGGAAACAAGAAAGTAAATAAGGAATAAAATAAAAGGCACGAACAAGCTGAATTTTAAACACATAAACATGATGTTATATCAAAGAGAGACTATGCTTTCTTTCCTTATGCCCATGGAACTTGTACAGAATGCCATTTAATAACTTGGCCATGAAGAAAATCTGGTAAGGGGACCTGGGTGGCTCAGTCGCGCAACTGACTCTTGGTTCCGGCTCAGGTCATGATCTCATGGGTCTTGGGATCGAGCCCCATGTAGGGCTCTGTGCTCTGTGGGGAGGTTGCTTGAAAGATTCTCTCCCTCTGACCCTCCCCTCGCTTACTCTCTCTCTCTAATAAATAAATCTTAAAAAAAAAGAGAAAATCGGGCACCTGGGTGGCTCAGTTGGTTGGGCGACTGCCTTCGGTTCAGGTCATGATCCTGGAGTCCCGGGATCGAGTCCCACATCAGGCTCCCTGCTCAGCAGGGAGTCTGCTTCTCCCTCTGACCCTCTTCCCTCTCGTGCTCTCTATCTCTCATTCTCTCTCTCTCAAATAAATAAATAAATAATCTTAAAAAAAAAAAAAGAAAATCTCGCAGATGTTTTAATGTTGGGAATTGACAGGCTACATGGTCTGATCGTAACATAAGACGTTCAATATCATTAGTCATTACAGAAATGCAAAGCAAAACCAAAATATTCCATTCATTAGGAGACCACTTCACATCCATGAGGATGGCTAAAATAAGGGGTAAAAAAAGACAGTAACAGGTATTGGTGAGATGTGAATAAATTGGAGCTCTCATATATTGCTGGTAGAAATGGAAAATGGTATAGCCACTCTGACAGTTTGGCAGTTCCTCAAAATGTTACCCACAGAGTCACCATATGATCCAGCAATTCCACTCCTAGGTACCTTGCCAAGAGAAATGGAAACACATGTCCGCTCCAAAACTTACATACACAACTATTCACAGCAGTATTATTCATAGTAGCCAAAAAGTGGAAATCACCTAAATGTCCATCAACTGAAAATGGAGAAACACAATTTAGTATATCCATAAAATGGAATATTATTTTACAATCAAAAAGAAGTACTGATACAGGGCGCCTGGGTGGCTCAGTTGGTTAAGCGACTGCCTTCAGCTCAGGTCATGACCTCCTGGGATGGAGTCCTGCATCAGGCTCCCCGCTCAGCGGGAAGCCTGCTTCTCCCTCTCCCACTCCCCCTGTTTGCGTTCCCTCTCTTGCTGCCTCGATCTCTGTCAAATAAATAAATAAAATCTTAAAAAAAAATACACATTCTCTTCAAGCACCCATGCGACATTCTCCAAGACATACCACACCCAGGGTCATAAAACAAACCTCCATAAATTGAAATCATATGATATATGTCCTCTAATATCACCAAACTAGAAATCAATAACAGAAAGATAACAGGAAAGTCTCCAAACACTTGAAAATTAAACAATACATTTCTATATCATCCATGGATCAAAGAGGTGGTCTCAAGGCAAATTAAAAAGTCACGAAAGAAAATAAAAACACAACAGATCAAAATTTGGGGGATGAAGATAAAGCAGTGTCGAGAGGGAAATTTGTAGTACTAAATGTTTATATGAGAAAAGAATTAAGGTCTTAAATCAATCATTTAAGCTCCCATCTCAAGAAACTAGAAAAAGAACAAAGTAAACCCAAAGCAAGCAGAAGGAAGGAAGGAATAGATGTAAGAGCATAAATCAATGAAATTGAAAACACTTACCAAATTGTTGAATCACTCTATTGTACACCTGAAAAAAAAATAGTTGAGATAAAATATATATGTAAATACAGAAAAAAAGAAATCGAAAACAGATAAACAATACAGATCACTGAAACCAAAAGCTGGTTCTTTGAAAAGATTGATAAAAGTGGTAATCCTCAGGCAAGACTGATAAAGATAAAAAGAAACAAGATAAGAATTACCAATACCAGAACTGAAACATAAGATATAACTACAGATGCTGCAGTCATTAAAATGAAAGTAAGGGATTACCACAAACAACTTAAATACACATAAATTCAACAACTTCCATAAAACACAAACTTCCACAACTCACCCACTACTAAATATACACTCTGAAAAAAATTAAATAGATAATCTGAAATCATATAACTACTACAGAATTTGAGGCCATCATCAAAAAGCTTCCAAAAGGAAATGTCCAGGCCCAGATGGTTTCACTGGAGGATTCAACCAGTTAAAGGAAAAATTAGCATAATTCTACATAATCTCTTCCAGAAAATACAAAAGAAGAGAATACTTCTTACCTCATTCTATGAGGCCAGTACTACCCTAATACTAAAACCAGACAAAAACAGTACAAAAAACTAAAACTGTAGGCCAATATCTTTCATAAACCGAGTTACAGAAAATCCTCAAAAAAAAAAAAAAAAAAAAAGGCAGTAGCTAATCCATTCCCGCAACATATAAAAAGATTTATACACCACAACCAAGTGAGATCTATTCCAGGAATGTAAGGCTGGTTCAACATTCAGAAATCAATCAGTGCATTCTCCCATATTAACAAGCTAAAGAAGAAAAATCACAAGATCATATAAATTCATACAATATTGACAAATTTCAACACCCATTCATGATAAAACGAAATAGACACATAGATCAATGGAACAGAATAAAGAACCTAAAAATAGCCCCACACAAGTATGTGCAATTTATTTTTCACAAAGGTGCAAAACAAGTCAAAGAAGGAAGGAAAGTCTTCAACAGATGGTGCTTGAGTAATTGAACATTCAAACAGATGAGCTTCAACCTAAGTCTCACACTAGATACAACACTGAACTCAAAATGCACCACGAACAGCAGGAAGGAGAAACGGACCAATCACCAACACACTGGAGAATTTCTCTCTCCTCGGGAACAGGAGACAAGGACAACAAAGAGTGTACATTTTGTATGACACAGTTGACAACTAAACAACTAAATATTATTTTTGATTAAAATATGGAACATTTATAAAAATTCACCACGGCCTAGGCCATGAGTCTTCTCCTGTTTTGAGCAAGGAGCTTCACGTAGACATTTTTCTGACCACAGAAAACTAAGGCTAGAAATCTATTAAAAAGATAAACTTTTGGAAACTAAAAACGCACTTCTAAATAACTCGTGGGCAGAAGAAAAATCAACTCTTAGGGTACACTTAGAACATAATGGACCGAACCTTGTGGGTCTTAGAGTGAACTTCAGGACCTTAACGTTGAGAGAAGAGGAAAGCCTGCAAAATAATGATCGAATCATCCAATCCGTTAGACAACCGATTCCATCACTGACCACACAGAATCCCCCAACACTCACGCTCCCCGGGGCCCCATCACCTCCACATCCCTCCGACACAGAGCATTGAGATCCTCCTGACAACTATTAAACCACCGCTGAGAACCGTAGCCGCTTCCGGTCACCACCCCCTAGCACCGCCCCTTCTCAGGGTTTGGGGCGACGGGCGAAGGGGGCGTGGTCCTGCACACGCGCAAAACTACATTCGAAGCCGCTGTCCGCCCAGAGTCGACGTGGGGATGTTACGGAATCGGTGCTTTGGAGCGTTCAGGGCCCCAAGGCCGCGTTGCCAGGCGGGGAACGTGGCCGCGCCCAGGTCGCGCTTCCCCGTGGGGTGCGCCATGTTGGAGGAGTGACCGTTCCGTACCGAGGGTGAGGAAGCCTCCAAACTCACAGAGCAGAGCGGCGGAGCTGTCTCAGTGGCGGGGAGCATGGGTGGCGACGTTCTTTGGGGCGGTCTTCCTGGAGGAGGGGGGTCTTTGGATCTGTACTCTGGATCTGTGTAATAATGTTCAGAGAAGCTGAAGGGCCTCTGCAAAGACGCAGACGCGCCAGCGGCTGTGCTCTCCTGGCAGATACCACACGATGTGAAAGCGGGGGAGAAGTCAGACTGGTTTACAGTGCTCTCCTGGAACATACCACGAGCGAAGAAGGGGAAGAAATTGGGGGTGTGCAGGCCTCCTAGGACATAGCACTGAGGGATAAAGGGGAAGTCAGTGTCAGATTCCCCTCCGTTGTGCTTGTAGGGGTTGGCTGCGGGGTCTGAATGCTCCCATAGTCTACATTATCTCCCACTCCAGCAACCCCAGATGAAATAAAATATGAACAAACAATACTTTTTTATTTTTCCTTAATCTAAAGCATTACGTCAATAAAAGCATCTTCAGGAAACTATTATTTTTATTTCCACATAAAATAAAATCTGCACTGTGATAGTGCCCTTTTGAAAATGTAGCTTTAAGACGAGACTGATGCTGCCCTTCAACCGGTTTGCTGTCCCTAATATTACTTCTAATATAGAAATTCCCTTCTATATTAGATGCCCATACCCTTCTAGGACGTGTCACTGGGGTAGGAAGGGAAGAAGTCCTGTTGCCCTTTACCTGGGAATGCCTACTTTCCCTTCAAAACCAAGTTCAAATATCGCCTCCTCCAGGGAGTCCTACAGGCAGAAGGCTCTGTACCCCACTGAAGGTTTCTCTGAATCCTCAGGTGAGGAAGGTATTTTGAGGGGACCCGACACAGGCTCAGGTATGGACTTACTGGATGCTCTCAGTCCAATCACATCCCCTCTGCTCAGTTTCACAATCTGGAATGTAAGAGTGTCCTACTCAGCCTAAGACCATCTGGGACTAATTTGTAGTCTGACAGATCCATCAGTCAATGAGGGAGACCACACACCAGAGGAACCATGGAACCACTAAACAAAGGGAAAGGTAGAGTTACAGGATTCGGAGGAATGGTGAAGTTCAGATGAAATAGAAATGAAGCAGTGTTTTGGTGACCTTAAGGCAAAATGGAGCTGTATGTGAACCACAAAGTGAACTTGAGTCCTGTTCTCCTGAAAACAATAAAGTTAAGATAGATATAAAATGTTGTGTCTAGATACCCCTCATCTCGGGTCAGGGTTGGAAATCCTGGCTGCTTCTTTGTGTCTAAGTGACTTAGAGTCTCCAGCAAGAGTAGGATGTTTCGTTTGAACGGATACCATTTGAAATAGCAGCTTTCTGATAGTCCGTGATTGTAGTGAAGGAAGTTTCCCAGTGACTGAGAAAGCAGTAGTCACTCAAAGTAGAGTTCTTCATGGCATTACAGCGGCAGCACGTCCTTGGGAGAAATAGTGTTTCCCAATAACTTTGCATCTGACTTTATCTGTGATTGTTCTCCTAGCCTGATGAATGGCAGGGCAGATTTTTATAGTCCGAGCTACTTTTTGCTTTCTTAGAGGGTTGGACTCTAAGCATTCCAAATTCTCTTTCTACATATATAGCCCTGGTCTGATAGTTTACTGAATGAAGAAACAAAGAAGGAATTGAATCACTGGTAGCTTGTCTGACGTGCTTCTATATAGAGTTGCAAGAATCCCTGTTCATGTTGTTGAGCATCTTAATAGTACTACAGTTATATTTCAAAAAAATAATAGACCGTTAGACCATTTCAGAGAAGAAGGAAAGATAGAGCCAATAAGCATATGAGGAGGTGTTCAAAGTCATTAGCTATCAGGCAAATACAAATCAGGACATGATGAGATGACATTTTATACCCACTCAATTCACAAAAATTTCAGTCTAACAATACCCAGTATGGAAGAGGATGTGCACCCATAGGATCGTTTTGCCCTGTGGAAGGAATGTGAATCAGTGTAACTGCTTGTAGAGAGCAAAATGGAGTCTGTTGTGTCAAGCAGGAGCCCGTGTCGAGCAATGACGCAAGTAGGTAAAGGTACTGCAGCTAGGAGGTATCGCCGGGACCAACATTAGCTGACACCCCAGAACTGATAACGAGCAGAACCAGAGGAGGTCTGCAGGGACCCGAAACCAATTAAATCCCTTTAAAGAGGGAAGGATTCTGGCAGCAAGCTGTTAGACTCTTCAGACGTGACCCCTCTATGTCTGACCACTTAAAAAAGGCAACTGCCACCAACTGATCTCCGAACAGAACTGAGATCCTTCACTGCTTGAACGTAAGAAGCAGCAGGTGCCAAGAGCGGCCCCAGATTGGGCGGAGGCCTTATCTCAATTGCATGCTCACAGACTGACTTTGTGTTTCATTCCTTAACTTCCTACACCCTTCTGTTATCTTGTTCGTTGCGTGGTTGGTCTTCTGTCCTGCTCTGTGTGCTGTGTAAGAAGCCAGGTTTAATCACATGGTGAAATGTCACTGAGTTTGGAGTCCCGAACCTGCTTTATAATGGTGATAAACTTTGCTTTATGATTGAATAAAGCGGACATTGTGGAAAGACACAACTCATGGTGTGCACCTTCATAGTGTGCTTATGACACCACTTTAGAAAATAGGCATTCCCTCCTACAAGTGAATATTTACATACCTCACAATCCAGCCAGTCCACTCGTAGGAATGTATCCAAAAGAGGGTAGGGGGCCTGGCTGGCTCAGTCAGTTAAGCATCCGACCCTTGATTTCGGCTCAGGTCATCATCTCAGGGTCGTGAAATTGAGCCCCGAGTTCAGGCTCTGTACTGGGCATGGAGCCTGCTTAAGATTCTCTCTCTCCCTCTCCCTCCACCCCTCCCCCCCCACACCCTCTCTTTGTCAAACAAACAAACAAAAAGGAACATTCCCACATGAAACCTAGGATATGCATGACAATCCCTTCACAACAGAAAAACCTAGAAACAAAACTGGATGCTCATCAACAGGAGTCAAAATGAATAAACTAGAATAATACTCAACAATATGGATGAACATTAAAGAAAAAAAACCCTGTAATTCCCGAAAGATTATATAAAGCATAACACACTTTTATAAGAATAAAAGCTACTAACATAAAGAACATAAACTATTTAGGACTGTATGTAATTGCAAGAAAATTACGTTAAAAAATAAAAGGTTTATGAACTTGGGATTCAGGATGATGTTTACCTCAGTTAAGGGGAGGCAGGGCAATGAATTGGGGGACCACATGGATAGATGCAGGTTATCATCAAGGCCATACAAAGGGTGGTAGGCACATTAAGTGCTAACTTTACTATCAAAACTATTTAAATTAGGGGCGCCTGGGTGGCTCAGTCGGTTAAGCGTCTGCCTTCGGCTCAGGTCATGACCCTGGGGTCCTGGGATCGAGCCCCGCGTTGGCTCCCTGCTCAGCGGGGAGCCTGCTTCTCCCTCTCCCTCTGCCCCTCCCCCCTGCTCATGCGCGCTCTCTCTCTCTCTCTCAAATAAATAAAATCTTTGAAATAAATAAAATAAAAATAAATAAATACTATTTAAATTAATTGGGAAAATTAAGCTGTTAGGTAAATATCTAAATGTAAAAAGACAAAGTCTGCATGGAGAAAAGTGCCATCCCTTCCTTGAGTAGGGCAAGAAAATCGTTGGCCCCAGCCCAGAGACGCCATCCAGTGGTGGGATGAGCAGAGAGGCAGGAGGCCCATGACCTTGACACTTACTGAAGCCCCTGCCAAAGATGCTCTCACTCCATCATCATACCTGCTCCAGTGTCTTTTCTTTAGATGTCTTCCTTCCCCGACCTACCCCCACTACTCTCTAGCTCCTCACCATGCCTTAGTTTTCTTCGTAGCCTTCTGTTTTTTCAGAATGATCTTATTCATTTACTGTTCACCCATTTACTTGTTCATGCTGATACTGAAGTGAGTTCTGCTTCTCATATATGTGCAGTAATTGACTGCTTTATTTTTGGTAGCTGTACCACACATGTAGAGAGCAGTAAAACACATAAAAGCAGGGTCATTGTCTTAAAAGATTATTCCCTTCAAAAGACTCTGCAGGCATCTCTGGATGATACAACTAATTATAAAATTGATTTGGTAGGAGTAAGGCAGGAAATGCTAAAAAGATGGAGAACTTGTAAGTATTTAAGACCCTATTTGTTCATCCATCAAATATTTATTGATCACCAGTCACTGCTCTTGGTACTTGATATTGGGTAAAACAAAACAGACCCCAAACTCCTAGTTTCATGAGCCCAACATCCTAGTGGGGAAGAGGGCAATAAACACTGTTTGTCAATAGTTGATAACTGCTAAAGGGGGTAGATGGGGCACTAATGTGAGTTAGAAATATTGGGGGAGGGGGCTGCCACTTCAAATAGAGAGATCAGAGTCTCCTTTTAAACTCTACAACTGGGAACGCTTGAGGGCTCAGTCGGTTAAGTGTCTGCCTTCGGCTCAGGTCATGATCCCGGGGTCCTGGGATCGAGTCCCGCATCGGGCTCCTTGCTCAGCGGGGACCTGCTTCTCCCTCTGCCTGCCGATCCCCCTGCTTGTGCGCTCTCTCTCTCTGACAAATAAATAAAGAAAATCTTTAAAGAAAAAAATAAAGTAAAATAAAATAAAAATAATTCTACAACTGACTGTCCTGAATCCTGGAGCAGGCCAGTTGTGAATCTTCACATTTATGCTGGCAACCAGTTGAAAACAAGGAAGAATGCAAGGTCAGAATATTTACACATCTGCAGCTAAGGACATAATGATGAGCACCTTTTTATCCTATTAGGTAAATGCAGAGTGGTATCCACGGTCTTCCCATCAGCCTTGTCTTGCATGTCTTCTTCCTTCAGTAGATGAAAAATATCTTACAATATGGTAAAATATTATCTGTCTTCCACTGACAGAGGTAGAGGAAAACTTCATAAAAGTATCAGGTTCAATGGCTAAGCAGGGACCTCTGGACCAAAGCCACAACCATTTACATATGTCAGGAGACAGCAGGCAATAATAGCTTATTTATTTTACACCCCAATTTTTTAAGGTTTTTTTTTGTTTTTTTAAAGATTTTATTTATTTATTTGACAGAGAGATAGAGCCAGAGAGCACAAGCAGAGGGAATGGCAGAGGGAGAAGGAGAAGCAGGCTCCCCGCTGAGCAGGGAGCCCGATGCGGGGCTCGATCCCAGGACCCTGAGATCATGACTTGA